TTAAGGGGACTTTGATTATTTTCCCATGTGACCTGGCTGGGTACAGGGCAATTCCAATGGTCCATTGGTACCAATGGTACGATTTGTACCAATGGAAAAGCACCCTATTCCAATGGTTCTATTGGTGAATATGCATCTCATTAAGGGGACTTAGATTATTTTCTGATGTGGTGTAGCTGGGTACAGGGCAATTCCAAGGGTCCATTGGTACCAATGGTACGATTGGTACCAATAGAAAAGCATTCTATTCCAATGGTTCTATTGGTGAATATGCATCTCATTAAGGGGACTTAGATTATTTCCTCATGTGGTCTGGCTGGGTACAGGGCAATTCCAATGGTCCATTGGTAACAACAGAAAATGATGCCATACCAAAACTGAGCTGTCTTGCCAAGCGCGCCCTGCCGAACAGTTTCTTTGAATTTATCATAACGGTCTAGGGAGTTGTTACAGCTTTCACTTGCTAAACATTCTAAAAGGTTATGTTTGCACGGGTTCTTCGCTAGATGGTCTAATGTTGTAAACCCTTGCTTATCAAAAAGACAACCATGCAACGACTCGTAGACCTGAAGAATTTGTTCCAAAGCTTCGTAGACAACCTTGCGCATGCGAAGGGCGTGGTTATAATGTTTGCCTGTGAAAACTTGCTCTATCAATTCACTTGCACAGATCCCTGATTCGATGAGGACTTCTTCAAAACCACTACATCTCATTTTCTTTCCAAGGGCACCCATGAATGCGCAGGTAAAATGAAAACTACTCATACGTACAATTACATCACTGAATTCTTCTGAATATTAATCTGAGTCTCAAAGGATTGTGGGACAGGAAAAAAGGTGGACTGTGCCCCATGGGATATCAAATAGAGAAGTACGATATGCGTCTTGAAATATAATCCACAAAATGATTAACTACTTTTTTTGTTACAGCTAATGTACCATAAAAAGCTTGAAGAAGATTATTAAATGCAGTGCTGTGGAAAAGTTATTGTGCTTTACTTTAGAGGACCTTATAAAGCGCTGTTAACACCTTTTCGGCTTGGAAATATCGCATAAGTAGCAAACTAAGGATTAGTCATCATTCAGTAGCTAGTACATTCTCATTGGCCAGTAACTACCAAAATTTCACGTAGGTTAGACATTTTAGAGAGATTTTTTTTTTATTAGAACTATCGTAACAGGTGTTAGTTACGTACCCAAGTAGATGGTAAATTAAACTTGTGACATGCGCAGTAAGAGTTTTTGGAGCTTAAAAGTTAAGTAGAAAATTTTAACTTACATATGAGATTTAAAAAATACTTTACATTAAATAACTTTGAGTGTTATTTTTGTCAGTAATGGTGTTTCAGAAGAGGTTAACTTACCTCTTGGTGTGGGTAACCTGTGACTCTTTGCTGAGGAAAAGAATGTTGCTGCACAGCCACACCCACCAACCAATTAAGTGCAAACATGCATTTTTCAAATATCCTTGGGTGAAGCTTTGAAGTGATACATGTCTGCAAAAATCCCCGAGGGGGGGGAGGGTTTCACTTTCTGGCCCATGGACTAAAAGGAAATCCAGGAGAAGCAGTAATGAGGCTCTCCAGTTTATGCAGGAGAAGGCTGAATCAGACAAGGCACTCCGTGAAGAAGAGCTAAAGATAAGGAAAAAAGAAGAAGAAACCAAAGCTGCTCAATTCCAAGCAATGTTCACCCAGCAGCAATCCTTCTTACAAGCAATGACCCAACAGTAGGCTCAACAGCAGCAACCGAATCAACACATGCAGATGTTAATGGCACAGCAAAGTCAGGCAATGATGTCTGTTTTGGAAAAACTCTTGTCAAAAGAGTGAAGAGTGTGACAGATCAGTTTCATTCCATTTGAGTTTTACAGCAAGAAGTGTTAGATTAAAAGGCATGTGAAATCGTTCCAAGTATTGTAGCAAAGTTGTATTATGGAGTCAGCTACTGTATTTTAAAGGTAATTCATTTTGAATTTGCCTGGTCATCACACTGTGCTTTTATTTTATATTTCTTTTTAAAAAGGTTAAAAAAACCAATGTTACTCAAAAAAAATTCCACCCATAAGACATAAAACGTATAAACAAATATGGCTCTTGTTTTCATAACTAACCTCGAATTCAAGCAAAAACTACTTTTGTGTTTTTGCATGAATTAAAGGCCAGAAAGGTGAAAACAAAGGCTTTTCTCATTGGCTATCGAATTTTTCAAGTTCATATCTTCATTTGCAAAAGGCTGGTCTTTTACTGGCAGTCTCAAAAGCAATACCATTTTAACAGGAGTCATATGTGAGATCAACTCTACAGTATTTTTTAGATGACTGAATCATTACATGACATACAATTTCTAAATACAAGTGTGATATGCCTTTACAGAATCTAGTGTCGTAAAAATAATCAAAATCTTGAGGTATACATAGTATGTTGAGGTTTGTCACCCTTGAGAACTGACGCTGTGACCCCAACATGTTTCCAACAGTTCTCATTAAATCCAGCAAAACCTCTCAAAATGTCTAAGTGCTTTTGGTTTCATTGCTGTGTTGCTAATTTACACCATAAACCATAATGCTTGAATTATTAAAGATCATTTTCAAAACAGTTAACCTAAACTGTAGCACTTATGCAAAATAAGTTTCAAGTTCGGGAGGATTACACTGGAAAAAATCTGAGGTTGCGTTTCCATATAGACATGTTAGTCCATTTCTAAGAATAGCACTGACGATGTACATTTTCCCCACACTACTCAGTCCCAACTTTAAGTTATTTTTAAAGTCCAGAAACTTTAAGTAATTGATTATGTCTCCGAACAGCCACTCCACACTTGTTCTCACCGAGCTCATAGCAGTATTGTAAGCTTCCATCTGTGGGGTTAAAACTCCATTTCTAAATGGACATTGAAGGCCTACACGGATTGGGTAAGCAGGATCCCCGTAAATACAAAGTGGTTGTCCAGCCAGGCTAAAGGCATACTGACAGAGATCATCCAAAAGGTGAGACTCAGCAAGCATACCTGCATCATGCTTTCTTCCCTCTGCAACAAAATTAATGGACAGGAGGAGTGTTAAAGTTCAGTCAGATAAGTGAAAAAAGTCCTATAACATTTTGTTAAAAGAACATTGAAGCATCAAGGGTCTCACAGGAATATTTCATTAATTTTTCTTGTAACTATGACAATTCAGGAAAAAATGAAACTATTTATTTGTTCATTGATATATTTATTACGAACTGACGAGATTTTGTATATAAAAAACATGCTTTCCTTTAGACATAGTCAGCTTGGCTATGAGGTAATGCGAGTGAAGTGTTTAATTTGTAAGATTTTTTTGTAATTTCTCATGAAAAAGCAGTTGTATGTTTCCAAGAAGTTTCATTTCAAGCGATTTCTCAAGATGAAAAGAAAAAAAAAAACACTTAAGCAGTTGCCCCCTCACCCTATAAACCCCAGATTCAATTTTCTAAAGAAAAGACAACTTACCGACAGGGCCATACATATTTGCAATCATTCCATCTGAGGTAACAACAGACTGAAACTTGATTCCATGGACACGTTTGTGTCCCTTGTAAAGCAACCTCTGGTTGACAGTGCCGGGCCTACAAATAGGGCGAACTGTCCCATCAAAAAAAGCAAAACACTTTAATATTAAGTGGGGCTCCTTTTCGGCGAAAAACTTCGGCAAATCTTTCAAGATTGGCTTGGCTTAGTTGCTGATGATTCCACTGCAGAATGGGATGGCTGTGAGCTTGATAGATATAAAACTTGATTTGTAATCATACACAATACAGGAACCGGCTTAGTAAACAAGTGGACCATATCGCTGTATCGGCAAGGGTAGCACAACCGCTTCAAAAGCATGCATAGTCCTTCAGTTCCTTCGCAAATTGTCCCTTGGTGACAAATTATAACATCAGGAACCGCAAAGCCTGAGAAAGCCTTGGGCCACACATTCATCTTCGGTCAGGTTTTGGACGTCGAAATGTGGATACAAGTCACACGGCAAGTCCAGGTTTTGTGGGCTGTAAAGGTCGTATAGTAAGAGAAATTCGGCGTCATCGAGGACTTTCATGTCATAGTAGAGCACTATAAGCTCTCTCAATTCTTTCCAATAAACCATTTCTTTTAAATAAACATACCACAACCAAAAAACTTAGAGCCGAGTCTGATTTGTTTACATCGAGTTTGACTTTGCCGTACTACACAAAACTTAATCAATTCGAGTTTTAGCGGGAGACGGCTTAGTCGGCCCAGTCTCTTTCGGTTACATCCGCTGTACCAGAGCTTCGCCGTAGTGGATCGTAAGGTCCCTACTGTCCTTGAGGAAAGCGACAAAGTAAGTGAAGACGAGGACTTAGGAAACGTTGGTATAGAGCAAAATGACTTAAGCAAAGGTTCAAAGAACGAGATGGAAGAGCCTATCGATGAAGGCCACAGTATGCCATGCTATGTTAGCATGCTTCTAGTTTTAACGTATGCCATAACGTACACAATTACAGGAATTTAATTTAGGGACTTGCTTGTTATGCTTAGTCTTCACTGCTTAACACAACCCAAACATTTGAAAAGTGTTTATCCTTTGAAGAAATACTTTTCTTCGATACAGAATCCTCTTATTATCCATAAGTGCTGTAACTTTTGTTTCCTGTTGATTAAAAGGGAGGAAAAGCAATGTACAAACTGTCAACAAAATTTAGAGAAGCAGGGTTCAACAGCATGTTTTGTCGAGATACCAATTATTGAACAGTTGCGAGACTTATTTCAAAAGTCAGACTTTATTCCAAATATTGAGAAGGGATTTGAAAGGAAGCAAATACGTGGAATGTACAGTGATATAATGGATGGCAAACGTTATAGAAGACTATCCGAAAATAATGGTCCCCTTTCTCTCAAGTATCCATATTGTGGTGCAAGGCAAACCCCGCGGGTGCCCCTCTAAGTAAGTCACGTGAGATGGCGTAATAACCATGTGCGAAGAAATGATTGTAAGACCAGTTGAGTAGCAGATTAAACATATATTGTTCTCTTAACGCCGTGTTTTAGCTGGGAATCGTGGCGTTACACTGGTGGCAGCGGTAAACAAAGACGAACTTCACGGATACATGTGTTCAATGGCGATATTTTCATGGTTTGCGTGACTGAGTTTCGTCACCCTCTGTTGTTTTTCATCCAAAGTCTCTTCGTGTGTTTTCTATCGTGGTCTCGCCCATTTGCAATGGCGGAAAACTCACTTGTGGATTCAGGATTTAAAGGAATGAGTTGTTCAACGCCAGCTAATCCTTTTAAAGCGGGAAACCCATTTAAATCAGAGTCTGTTTCATCTGTAGACTCACCAATGCATGTGGAGAGTCCAGGTCGGCGATTTCAATCAGCGGGCCCATTTGCATCGCCGCTGGATCCATCAGTACATGATAACAGTGCAAGTCACCGATTTCGCTCCAAAAACCCGTTCGTATCGGAGAGTCAACAGGATACTTACTCCACTGATTTGTTTACACACCGCCCAAAGTTAAACAAGCCTATTAAAAATCCTGCGGATTATGATGGTACTCAGTCGCTGCGTGATTATTTGAAACACTGAGCGTTACTCTGTTGTTAATGGTTGGGACCAAGAAGAAGCCGCTCTATTTCTTGCTGCAGGCCTTCGAGGAGAAGCCCAAAAGGTGCTTAATGGTATGTGTGATAGCGATTGTCGAAATTACTTCAAAATTGTTGACAAATTGGAGCTTCGGTTTGGTGTTGAAAAGCAGCGTGAATTACACCAAGTGCGCCTTCATAACCGTCGCCAACTGGAAAACGAAAGTGTTGAAGCTCTTGCTACAGATATTCGCTCTCTGTCAAGTTTAGCTTATCAGGACTTATCTCCGGACACTCAGGAAAGATTTGCCGTCCAGCACTTTATTGATGCACTGAAGGATCGAGACGACAGGCTTAAATTACGTAGAGATAAACCTCGCACCTTAGATGACGCCCTGTCGCTGGCTTGTGAACTTGAGGCGTTTCGTCTCGTGGATGGAGATGAGCGCAGAAGCCCTCTTCATGTTCGCTCTGTGGATGAAGTTGATAAAGAGCCTGATTTGCTTAAAGCTCAGCTGGATATGTTACGTTCTGATATTCGAGTGCAACAACAACGTCAGGAGACTCAGCAAGTTGCTATGCAACAGTTAGTTGAGCA